AGAACGCCACTGATGTCGGTTCGCTGCCACATCCCTCAGCAGTTCAGTTCAGTTCAGATGTCTCAAGTTGGCAAATGCCAACCGAGCCTTCTGTATGCGCGCCGACACTTCATCTGTCATGCGTCCGCCAGGTAAGATATAGCTGCTTGGATAGCAAAATTTGTCTACTTCCTCCACTACTTCCCCAGTCATCATCTCCAACCAAACAGGTACCGAGTCTTTCAGACCCCAAACTGAAAGACGGGAGACACCTATTCTACCTAATCACTCTGTGCATTTCTGCATGCTTCATCTCCACGCCATCTGTTGACCTCAACGTGGTTTAGAATATGCCGATGGCATCGCTAACCAGGCTATCTACTCCGATGTGGCTGAGGCTCCGTGGGCAGTGTCATCTGAACCTCCTACTGCAGCAGAAGTTCGTTCTTGCATCCAAGCCCTGAAGAAAGAAAAAGCAGCAAAGCCTGACGGGCTTCCTCCCACTCTTTGCAAGATGTGGGGTGATGACCTCGTAGACTCCATTACTGACGTAATGCGTGAAATCTGGTTACACGAGCGCATTCCATCATCCTGGAGCGAATCACTGATCGTTCCAATTTTTAAGAAAGGATCTCGCAATGACTGCGCAAACCACCATGGAACAAGTTTGATCCCAATCGTCATCAGGTTACTAGCCTCCATTATACTTCGACATCTGATGCCGTTCGAGACAAACATCCGCGAACAAGCAGGATTTCGACCAGGTCGCGGTTGTATCGACCAAATCTTCACTCTGCGTCAAGTCCTCGAGCTACGCCATACGCACCGTCGACCAACGGTTGTCGTGTTCCTTGACCTAAAAGGAGCCTTCGACTCGGTTGATTGTGAATCCCTTACGGGTTCACTCCTTTGCAAAGGAATGTCAAAGAAGTATGTGAACATACTGAGATCACTCTACTCACATACCTCTGGTAGCGTAAGGGTCTACGGCGAGCTGGGTAGGTCGTTCGTAACTAGCAGGTGTTCGTCAAGGGTGCTTTCTTTCGCCATTCGTGTTCAATTTCGTCAGACGAAATAATGGAGAACACATTAAATGGTCTCCAAAATGTAGGTATTGAATGGGTAGCTGGAGAAAAGCTGTCCGACTTGGAGTACGCTGACGACAGTTTGCTTGTTCGAATGTATGGAGGATGCACAAAGAGCACTTGACAGATTAGCAAGTTCTGTCTCTCCATTCGGCATGTGCTTTGCATCTTCAAAGTGAAAAGTGATGCTACAGGACTGGGTGTCACCGAGTAATGTTCTGAAACTAGACGGTCAGGAATTAGCTGAAGTTGACTGCTTTTCCTACTTAGGTAGCTGCGTAACCAACGACGGTAGCGCATCGAAGGAGATAACCGCCCGCATTTGCAAGGCTCGAGCAGCGTACGCAGGACAAAAACACCTGTAGCGGCGTATACTGCGCCACTGTTCTACTTTTTGGTTGTGCGACCCTGAATTTGCAGGTGGAAGACACCCGTCGTTTAGCAGTGTTCGACAATCGATGCCTACGTAGTCTGGCCTAAGTGGGAAAGAGTGAGCGGGTTAGTAACTTAGAAGTGATCGGGTGTTTGGGAATACATCAAACAAGAACTCGCTATCTCATCGAATCCAGCTCAGTAGGCTTCGTTGGTTAGGACACGTTTTGCGTATGTCCGACGGTCGCCTACCGCAGCGCGCCTTGTTTGCAGTGGCTGTTACAGGCCGGAGAAAGCCACATGGAGGCCAGCAGACGACGTGGAGACGAGGCATAAAGAAATGCACAGGGCGATTAGGTAGAGTAGGGGTCCAAAAGACTCCGAAACCGCACATTAAGATCATGGGTGCGAACCGACAGCAATGGCGATCATGCTGTCACTTCTTATTAAACCAGAATGCTTGAAATAGTATGTATGCTCAGTTGAACTGTTTACTCTGTGTTGACCGTAAAGGTTCGCTTTCTTTTCCCGTCCCTAAAAGTAGCTCCAATCCCTGTCCCTCTTACGCATTATCACTTTCCTTGTATGCATTATGAGTTTGGCAGCGATCAGTGAAGTTCGCTTCACTATATTACGCTGTACAATGATGATGATGATTAGTCACATTCTTTGTATACCTGCCCATCATTCACCTATCCATGCTCTCTTCGCACGAGATGCGCAAGGCTGGAGGAAGCGCTGCGGCCGTCAGATCGTGACATGATGTAGAGGTATGAAGAAGCTAGCTGGAGCTTTGGCTTTGTTCGCTGCAACCCGACTTACATGTTGGGGCCCAAGCTATGAGGACTGTCATTGCTTAGCGACCCTGAGAGATATGGCCCAGAATAGAAGTCAGTGGTGCGAATGCTGTACGGTCTGCCTCCTGAAATCCCATGAGTCATAAAAACAATAAACCAAAACACAACTAACAAGTGTACAGTGAAACAAAAAAGCTATTATACTCGTTATTCACCTTAACTGTTTGACCTCTTTCACTCTGCTTTGTATCTCAATCCCCCCCCCCATGTTCTNATGTTCTGTCACTCTTCTCATTGGCACTAAGTTTGCTTGATGACCTGCGTAGCATTGAAGTAGTCGATCACCGTTGCCTGTTAGCGGGGCGGGAAGAGCGAAGCGTCCCCCTACCCTTTAGGACAGGCTTTGGATGCGCTTGGCTTTCCAACCTGCGAGTTTAAATCACCTACAAGTAGTATAACATCACAGTTACGGCTCAACCGGATGAAGTCGGTGAGTTTATCTTAAAATTCGTCCTTTTGTGAATCGGAACTGTAGCCGGTTCGAACCTTGGTGTACAATATTTTCATCCATTCTGTTATATTACAAATCCGTTGCTTCTAGTGCTGTAGTCAAGTGTTGAATCATCGTCAGCGAGTAGTTCTAACAGGAATAATTACAGAAGTCATAATGATAAAACACAATACAACAGTAGTTTAGGTCTAAGCGCCGTCCCTCCCCACCCTCTCAGTCAACACTGCACGATGAATTTCGTCCTTGACAAAGTAGTGACATTGTCACCTCCGCTGCTGATTAAATGTTTGCAAGCAAATTGTCAAGCTCGGCGAACGGGTGAAACGAAATTTCGTCATATACAAAGGAAACGTGAAGTGAAAAGAGAGGGAAAACCACGCGGCTGTTTTGACTTAGTTGGCCTTTATCACTAACACTAGGAATCCATCGACCCAAATGAAAATGGAATCGAAAAAATCAGAAATGAAATTTCGAAACGAATTTCGCCGCATACTCCCTTGATCCTAGTGGCGCTGGATGTGGGCCTTCGGGAGAAATCCCACGGCATAAGTTGCTGATCTGTTATAAAACATTAAATCTTCGATTGCTTATAATACTATTCCGTACACTAAAATAAACCACATCAACTCTCTTGGAGAAAGCTAATCGCTAACAAACGAGTGGCCAGTTTCAACAGTCAATCATGCGCTCAGGTTGGAATGAAACAAAAAATTCAATGCAGACGGAATCAGGTTAGGAATACAAATTCAATCAACTCACTTGAGATAGGAAAGAGGCAGACACTGGCTGATCTAAATTCAGCAATTCTTCTCTGTCTAAATTTAATCGAGCGGCTAAGCTCAAGATTTCATCGGAAAGATTAAGACATTCTGCCTCGATTTCTGAAAGTCGACTATCGCATTTGTGTCGAAGCTCCTCCACCTGTGCCAGGAACTCTGTGGAAAGCGGCAACACATCCAGTGCATCGTCTTGCGTAATCCGAGACAATAAATCGATATCCAAGTAAGAGTCAGTTTCCAGTGCAGCTCGAATCTTGATAATATCCTGCCTTAGCTCAGAAAGATGTAAAACACGAGTGCGCTTGTAGTGTTACCAGTGAGTACCGCAAAACCTACTTTCTCCATCGTCAGATAATCAATATTTGCCTTCAAAGAGCGCATTTGTTGTTGATTGGGCACGTGTCTGAAAAGAATAACCGCAGTAGATTCGCCCAATCTGGTTGCAAGCAACTCCTCTTCCTTCCGAAGACTGTTGAAGCTTTCCGTGATTGATACAGCACGTTCTTCGAGCGATTTAAAACGATCAAATAGGGCTTTCTCGGTAAGAACTAGTGTAAGTGAATCACCAATTGGAACAGCTGAGAACCCCAACTCTGTTTCCAATTCACTAATTTTCGTCTAGACACTTCTGAGACAGAGCGTTAAAAGTGACAAACCTCCAACTCTTTGATTGATTTCATCAAAGTTTGTTGTGCAGCTAGCTCTTCATCGTACATCTCATCCAGCATCGAAAAAAGGTAGGATTGTAGGGTCTCTTTCCGAGCTTGTAAACGTGAGCCATCAATGCCAATCGCTGTCCAAACCCTACATATCTCTTTCACCTTTGATGAAACATTCTCAGTCAGCTTTTCTATCCATGATACATCATCCACCGTGGACATGGCGCTATGAAAAACCCTGGAATGATGCAACAGCCGGTAAGACCTGAAAAAAATCAAATTGTAATTATGTCGAGTAAGAAAAAGATAAGCATCGAACGGAAACTGACGAGTTTTAGATGTCACCAAACTGTACTACAGTCAAATGGGTAACGGAAAGGCATATGAGGCCATCAGAAAACACTCAGTCAAAGGCCTAATAAAAACCAACTCCAGGGATGAAGCGATACGCCGGATGAATGCACCACTCCAGGTTGACAAGGAAAAATAGTTCGGAGCGGGGAACAAAACCATCCATTCTGACCAAAAATAACCCCGGTATGGTCAGGAGTGGGTGTTTCGATTAACCGATTTCACCTTCATGGCCTTATTTGGAAATTCAATTGGACGTACGCGCATACCCGAAGAAGTGGGTTAACAGCTCAAGAACGATGCATCGCCGCCCATTCCGGTGTGTGCGTCTACGCATCGAATAACTGCAGCTGACCAGACGAAGAATGACTGCTACAATTACCTCTCGGCCGCATAAGATTTATTTTAGTTTACACTGCCGCGTGACCGTTTTGGTATCAGACTTTCAGCTATCCATTTGATCAACCAAAACCGGAGCACGAAAGTGCATGGTTAAGGATTGTTCAAACTGAAAACAAACAATGAAAGTTTCAGTATAGTCGGGGTGGGCGTCTTGGGTTGTGACTGGTTACTGTTCCCTTGCCGCACACAAAATGCTCCTATACGCCCAGGCTTTATACTAATAGCCGAAGTCGAGTCCGGGCTTACGGCACCTTTTCTCCCGAGTTCACCACGGAAAGCGGTGTTCGTCAGGGNTTCTATTTAACTTTGTTATTAATCTGATTATGGAAACAGCCCTATCCTCGTGCGAGGATAGTGGCATCGATTTACTCCCAGGTGGCAGGCTGTCCGACCTGGAGTACGCAGACGACATTGGCTACTAAGTGAAGATCCAGGTAAGTTGCAAGCATTTCTGGATAAGGATAATGCCAGTGTAGCCATATTCGGTATGCGTTTTGCACCTTCAAAGTGTAA